TGGGTAGTTTAGGTTAGTAACTCTTCCTAAACTCTGATCTGAATCGTGGTTTTGTAATCTTTGTTGTACTGATTTATTATATACAAAATGTTCGTTCCAAGTCAAAGATTAATATTTCTGCTACGTTTCACTACGACTCGCTCATTGCTCAATCACTTTGTCTTAAAACGCTAGGTACTGGATAAGCAATGAATTTTATTAGTTGGGATGAAATAATAACGTCTTCTCATAAACAAACACTCATCCCACCCAAGATATACTCACTTAGATAATATCACTAGGGCTAATTTGTCAGTTGTCAGACTGAACTACACCTTCTTGATCTCCAGGCTTCTAGAACAGTATCTCAGTGTTAAAGCTTGATACATTCTCTTACTGAAGTTGTTGAAGTGCAACTTAGGACACGTCCTATCGTTTGTTGTGAGGGAACTCCGCGTTTAATTATACCGATATTAAGCTGATCACGTTGCACTGTCAATCGATGTTTCTAGAACTTACTCGTGGTATCTAGATTTATATTGCTCAAAGAAATTAGCCTATAGAATAGTCGAGAAGCAAGCATACATTGTTTTGCAGGTTAAACCGTGTACACTACAAGGTAACTGTGTTTTATACAAAACTAGCACTTGTTGACATTTAAAAGAAAGTAGTCGCGAGATGTGATTTAATACACACGTACGTAACTTACAACAGGATTTTAAAGAAATAGTACAATTATACAAGTTAAGAAAAATATACGCGGCATTGCCGATAGATTTTTCTAGAACTATCTCTGGTATCTCTATGCGTACTGCTCAAACAAATTAGCTTATTGTAAAGCCAAGAAGTGGGCTTCTCTTGTGTTTTATTTTGTGTACCATGTACACAGTACTGTGTCCGTGTTTTTGTTATAAAACTTGTAACTCACATTTTAAAGAATATCCTCAGTAACATTGTGATGTTCGTACTGTATCGGCTTGAATAACCTAACTTTAACAGGATTATTAAGAAATAGTACACTAATGTCATTACAAGTAGAGATAATGTCCACTAATAGCTTGAGAGACTAGCTAACCCTGTCTGTGTGACTTGTGAGTGCGTGTGTTTGAGCGGTGTGTTACACCGATAATATTATTCGTTATCGGCACACGAAAAATTCGTACACAAGCAGTCGCATTGTTCAATATTTACCCATCATCGTGTAAAACTGTGTAAAATTGACTAGAAGATAAGAACACAATAGGGTAAATTCAAAATTGATGATCTCTTCAGTCTTCATATTTTCTGGTTCAAAAATATACAGTACAAGAAGAAGTTTCCTCAGAACTTAACCCAGAACTTTAACATAATTTCTGATTTATACACGTTCCCAAGTCAATCAGTCCACGTATGGGTTAACCCATTTTATCACCAGTGTATGCATGCTGGCACATGTGTGACCGATATCGATACAGTAAGTGGAGTTTATGGCGAGTCTTGAAAATCCCACATTTGTTCATTCAGGAAAACGATAAATGTGCGATTTGCTCTTACTTCTTCTCTGGCATTTTAATCCTCTTCAGCAGTAGAAAAACTTGGTGTAATCCAATGAACTCTGTGCCATTTTATTGAAATCTAAATTCATAATCTAGATTTGTATTTTGCACACCTATTGAACCTGAGTGTAAATATTCTGGCGTGCGTTTTTGTGAGGTGGCGAACTTATATTAAGTATATTTCATCATATCATGCGCCCGTTATAGAATAGAATAGAATAGAATAAACTTATACACAGCACTACACAGTACACATTTGAAACATAATAAATAAGTCAGAAATTGATAATTTTGTTAGTTTAAAACCCTTTTTATGTCTAACTATAGATACATGATAACGATATAATTCTAAAGTAAATAGTAATATGGTAATAAATTAGTTATCAATTGTAATACATTAAACATAAACTGTGGTCTGTGAGATTAGGGTTGTAACAAATAGCTGTCTAATATCGTAGATAGATTTAACTACAAAATTAACTTTAATCGGCATCAAATTATACGTTAAAACAATCTTTAAACCCTTTGTTCTACTCATAGAACATATTGTTCAGCATAACATATAATAATGATATGATCATAAGTGGATATCTGAGTAAATAAATAATTAAGTATGCGAGTTTCTAAACAACTGGTTTACAAGACGAGTAGTTGATTGTTGAACCCTTTATATGGCAGTATTATATGAGATACTGGCATAAAACATATAATATTTTTTTTTAACATATAATATAAAAAATATAAATTATAAACATATAATACATATATATAACAATAAGTTGGCAGTCTGACACACCAACATCCCCGACGATAAGAATGATGTTTTAACCCTATAATATTTCATCCACAAGCTAAGTCTAGGTTGTTAAAACTTTATATAAGTAGTTTCCTGTCGACTCCTCCCTTTACTATAAATAGAGTATAACAAATCTATCGTGCTTTTGCATGCTTGCAAGGCGCACGCTTTTATATATATAGTACTGTAAACTGAGCTTTCCTGAAATTATAAATCATTTTACGGTATTTTGACAATCTGTTACATGATAAAGATTAAAGAAAGCATGACATTCGGTCTTCTTATCACAATTTATATTTATCTTCATTTTTTACTAACTAGTAATGTTATGAGCTGCTTGCTACTCTTCTCAATTTTCTCTCTCTCTGCACTCATCTCAGCTCTGCACTGGTTACGTGTACCTTGTTGTGAAATTACAACAGGAAGCACACGCTGACCTATCACCTGGTTTCTTTCCTTGCTCTGATTGGTTGGTTTGTGTCACGTGTTTCCTGTTTTGTGTTTTGATTGGATATCACGGCGATTTATTGCGCTAATTAAGGTATGCAGCACTGTCTGTGGATAGTAAGTATTGTCTCCCCGCCTCTACTTGTTAAATTTAGGAAGTTTACACGAAAATAGTTCGTTTTTAAAAGTTGAATTATTTTAGTTTGTTCCGTACAAGAATTTCGCTTTTATTTCGTTTCGTATGGTGCCATTAAATGTAAAAATAATGGTTCGTGACGCATTTTATCTTGAGCTGATTTTTACTGGACTAATTTATCAGCATATGTTGAATTTGCGTTGCTTCAAACGATATCAAAACAATTTGTTGGGTTGCTAACTGGTTGTTCATTTTAAGTTATATCGGCCATGACTGTAAAGTGTAACATTGCTTAAATGTAAAAGTTTAGTATCGTTTTGTGTATTTTTATTTCTTTTCTTAAAATAGAACTTGGGCCCAACCTTGGAAAATATTTTTGATACTCCCTTTGCTTCCAAAGAATTACACCGTACATAAGACACGTAAATTAATGCCAAAAATAGCTGCTTCACCATGTCAATACCCTAATTATACGGCCATAGTCTTGTAAGTTGTACTGGAAGGACAATACACTGTGCACACGGACAATGTATACTTGAGGTGTACGAGTATAATGTTCTCCGATTTCATCGTGTCCTGAGTACGTAAACTCGAGATGACAGGTTCACAATATTAAGAAACTCTTAAAATGCACTGTGCTGTCAGCAGTCATCTTGTTTCCACTGTATGTTTTGGTGTTGTACAATTGACTACTCGGTTTAGTTTAACGTTATTGAGAGAATGGGTCACTGCCTCTGGCCTCACATGAAATGCTCTTATGAATCTGCATCATTTGATAAAATCTTATTATGGATGATAATGGTGATTTGTTTCAAATTCAATGCATCGCCGTTTAACCGTCCGCGACGAAGGCACTGCCTAAATATGCCCTTTTTGCTACAAATCAACATTCCATACTATAACTATTAACACTGCACTGCCTAGCCTAATGCAACGTTAATACATTCCATAGCTATCGTTGTAGTGCGCATTGCATACCGATGTCAGAATGTAGCCGCTGGAATTCATGCTATTTGCCAGAATGAACACCTCTGCTTTTGAGTGGGATGACCACGGTCTTCACACCGACCTCATCAAAGATTTTTTCAGTAGCTTGGGTAGGTTGACAGAGTTTTCTGGTTATTGAATTTTGATGTGTGAAGTTTTTACCTAAGGTTCCGCTTTAATTTTGACCGATTTAGAAAAAAGGTTTTCCCGGCCCTGTACCAACTTTGTTTTGAACTTAATGTATTTGAGCAGTGAGAAGTATCTCAAGTGAGAAGTATCTCAAGTTGCATAATAAATCGAATTAAAAACCAGGGCTAATAAGGCTGTACAACATTATCATGAACCATCATATTTACTCCTTATCAAGTTACATTGCTGCTCTTTTTTTATCTGACTGCCTCTATCTATAATTAATTAAATTGGTATAAACAGCCATATCGATTGTACACACAAGCTCTGAACATTGGCATGCCTGATGGCATCACTTAACACACAAGCATAGCTGTTGGCATCTCATAACACACAAGCATGCCTGCCTGGCTTTTGGCATTTCATAAGCTCAGAAAGAGAGAGAGGCTACTTCTCCATAATTAATAAGTGTCAAATATGGTGAACACACAATATAATTACACACGTTGATTAGTAGAGCGAGAGAGACAGGAATACACGTTTTACTGTGCTGTATGTCCTGGTAGAAGCTGCTGTTATTATGACAAACAAGGTGCGACCACATACTAGTTTGTGTGTTTGTCTGGTCCAATTACAGAGAGTTATTGCCGGCTCTCAGACATTCTAGAATATTCAGGACCAAGGTGTGATAGGTGTGGATATGTGTGGATATTATCAAGCGATACTTACTGCTGTATCTCTCTTGGTACACCCAATATTGCTGACGTAACGCGTTATATAATATATCTGGTGATGTTTTATTAATATGTCGCTTATGACTCGGACGCTGTAGCCTTTACACTTAGATCATTTCAGGGTACGAAGATAAAGACTGCGAAGACCCTGACACTTATGTTGACATCCTTAACAGAAATCCAAGTCAAGGTTTGTCAGCTGATACTAAATACTAAGTTTGAAACCGTTCTGATGTATCGTGAACACCCTGTACATTTATTGTATACATGATTTATTGTAAAGTTATGTTATGCAGTATGCATTCAGCATTTAGTACTTCTCTGATCTTGTTTTCAAAACATGTTAACGAGAAATGTGCATGTTAACGAAAAATTGTCATGCAATATAAACAGTTATCATGAGAAGTTCATGATAATGTTATCTGTAGCCACGAAACATTCTATTCTTAATCCCATCATTAATTCGATTTATATCGATATCGAGTTTGTTGTCATACTTTGACTGAAATTTAGACGACTAACTGGTACTACTGACGATAGTAGTCTCACGATCTGTGATATCTGAACAAATTTTCACTGTACTACAGGCTCTAACATCACTTCTATGAGCATCATACCACTATTTCCGGGATATTCGCGTGTTCTCGATTCACCTGGCGCGCTGCACCAGCCCGCCTAGAAGTAAAAGTCTAGCTCAGCGCGCGCGACGCATATTGAAAACGCTGACAACGTTGTGTTTTGTAAGATATTGTGTTCATTTCTGATGAAAGTAGTAGTTAGTATTACATTGCGCGCATACATTCACGATAAATTTTAGACGCGGGCTGTGGAATTTTAAATAGCATGTGGTTTCGAAAAATAAATGGTTTCCAAGACGAGCCCAACGATTCTCTCTCGGAAAACGTACCGATAGCTCAAATTTTTCCAATATTTTTTAATGGGTTAGAAATTCGGTTCGACAGTTGAGAATTGATTTAAACCAGAAAGTCCTGACTCATGATCCTGTAACTGAGCATTGTTACTGAAGAAAATAGCCACCATTTAAAATCATGGTGACTATTTTAAAAGAAAATTCGGTCATCTGCAAATTGCATGTCAGTTAGTAACATTTCAAATAAAACTTAAGTTTTCTCTATATAAAACAGTTAATTCTCCTTAAACTTATAGCGGACAAGTGTACCATGATTCGTGATCGTGTAAACAAGTATCGAATATTAGGACAAACTCTATCATCTAATCCTCTTCTTAGTCTAAAACCAATTTCAGAGTTCCTGGACAATTCGCTTTCTCCGACAGCACTCAAAAGGACAATTTCCAATGTGAGTACACCTCCTTTCTGAAATAATCTATAATCTCTATAATGCAGGAGCATTATCAAATCCACGATGGATGTTGGGGATTAGGAAGCATTCAGAAATTGACGAAGAAGCTAACTTCCAAGTTCCATTATGTCATTACTTACGTTTATTCCGTTTTAAGAATACGATACACATTATAAGAGGAACTAGCCGTCTTTTAATGGACAGTGCTGTATCATTTTGTTAGGATATCATTTTCCTAATTGGCTTTTCGTGCAATACTGAAAAACTATTGATTTTACTCCAAACTACTTCAAGACAAATCAATTATATTCCTTTTCCTGTTGAACATAACCTGAATGTGTTACGTTTTCACGTATATGCTGTGTTTACATTTACCATATGCCAATAGGGAAACTCCCTATTTGTGAGTAATTTAGTGTTGCCTGAGCGATATACCATACCAGCTAATAATGTTCTTTTTGTCATGGCAATACACGCACCAAACATTGTATTCGTATGACTATTGATTACTGTAGAGAGCATTTCTCTGTCGCTTAGGAATTTAGTGTTATTATACCATGTTCAGAAGCGCAGCTGATACAAGCAACATCTTATCGTGACTTGGATTTGCAGTTGCAGCATCCGCACGGCTTAAGAAGAGCATGTTGCAAACTACAAGATCGTATTAGTATTAAAATTGGAGCGGAAATTAATATATCTTTGATGGTCACGTGTGCAATCACTTTCACTTTTAAAGAGTTGCAATTTATTTAACGAAATGTCTCGCTTACATCGTGATTGGTTTCCCGTAATTCTGTTGCTTCTTATCATGGCCATCCTCCAAAACGACTCTAATGCTCGACATCCAACAATACAACGCTTATGTTCATTGTTCATTCATTTAATGTTAAGATTCATTTGCGGAATTGTGATATTTTAATGCTTGCCGTTACTTATGTTGAATTAATTTTAACAGTATCACCGGCACCGTTTGCTTTTAGTGATTGTTTTTGTAACTGTTACTCAGACACCACGTGGTGTCATTGCTCTCATATTGTTGCGAGCTTTATTCCAAATATAATTATAATATTGGGGGTGTATTTAGGATATTGTCAGTACGAGATTTGAATCACGGTTTACAAGTAACTCTCCTGTGTGTGTGCTGTTTGTTAAAACTTCGTATGCGCGATGTAAAATTGAATTTAATGTCCCCTTGGCAAGTTGCTATGTGACGACAACTCTGGTGTTACCTTTCTCTTGGTGTTGTGTCTTTGTTTCGATCATGACGTATAGTTACAGTTTAGTTTATTAGAGTTCTCTGTAACAGTTTAGTTTATTAGAGTTCTCTGTATTTGATTGTGTAACCATTAGTAACCTTGGCAAATAAGGATTATTGATGAGGTCATGCGCTCTTTACTGATTTACCGCTCCCTTGCATATCCCTCCGGTTTATTTTATATTATTTTATAGGTTATTAAAGTAACCCGAGGCGATTATTTAGCGTATACTCGTTTGAAATTAACCCTGTATATGATTTGGCGGCTGGTCACCTTGCTTGCGCCATGTTTTTCTCGAATCTGGATTAAGCACTGATCCATATTAAATCATTAGTTTGTAACCATTTCATATTCTGTCAAGACATCAAACGATTTGCAAGAAAATTATAGCAAAATTCCCATCTGGCTACGACCATGAGATTTAATTTTCTTTTAATTCGTGCTTGCTGCTGCCGATCAGTATGCTTCAAATTAGTGTGCTGCTGTTTATTGTAAGCTTGACAAAATTATTTCAGTTTCTTTTGACTTGCCAGTCCAGATTGTTCTTTGCTTCAAAAACTGTTGATAGCTTCTGCGGTCCGATGTCAACCTCGCAATTTGATACATATAAATCAAATTGCGAGGTTTTATAATATTAGATGATTATCCAATCAACCATGAGTCGCAAGTTTACAAGACGCTTATCAACCCAAAAAAGCACATCAATTTTGCAAGTTTACAGCCGAATGTGTCGCCGATAAGGAACTGCCACTTCTTTGCCCCCCACCGCACATTTCTTATTACACTGTAGTACGTACGTGCATGTAATCCGAGTTGCTTTGTTCTTTTGGCCGGACCTCACATGACACGAACCAGACATTCCACGGACATGCACGAGATATCTTTACTATCAACTTTTAACAGCTGTGCCAATGGTTTACTTGAGCTTAGGTTACTGTCCAGAGTGATTTAATCTGTTTTGAATTATTAACCTGTCATAATACTCTAGTCTTCAAAACGTCTGATGTTTTCTGACCAGAAATTTTCATTTGAAGTGTCAATAACAGTACACTGTTACATTTGAGTTTAAAATACTGTTTCTAATACTGTTTTTGGCAGTATTAGATTACTAAATTAGTCGTAAATCGTTATTTTCTAGCTTGTTTTAATACTTTCCAATGTGAGAATGTCGTCTGAGGTAAGTAGTATGGCTTCTCAAGTTCTCATTTGTGGTTTATGATTGTCAATTGTTGACACATATCACTAAAGTGTTATTGTTGATTGTTGACGTTTCTATTTTAAAGTGTTACTGTTATAGTACGTGATTGTTGATATTTCTATAAGCGTGTTGTAGACTACAGTACGCTATCCTGATAGAGTGCATGTTGTGGTTATTAATCAAAAGTGTTGTGTGTCGTTGTTAATGTTCTCGGAGACCTGAAGCCTTGTCTTATCTTTCCACAGCTCATCCGCTGTGCCTTGTTGCTGCACACTGACTGTACAGTGTACGCCGGCACCTGTCCTACTGCTCAGTGCAAACGTGCCCCAAGTTTTAACATCATATTATATGTTTGCATAGTCTAAATATTGCCTTGTTCATGTTTTCCATCAGTCTCTTTTGTTTATAATTAGTCAGTAATATAATGCCATTATGTTAATATTCTTATTATATCATGCATTTCAAAAGTGATGGACAATAACATGTTGTTTTTTTGTAATTTTCAACAGTAATTCAGTTATCTTTTATATATGTCGCTCATTTCCTCTTCATAATTATATCACCTATTTCTATTACATTCATAAATTGTCAGACATTTCATTTCGTTATCGTTACCCTGCATGTGCTTTGTGCGTCGCTAGGGCGAGTGGTGGTCAAATTTCACGTCTTGTCTCTATCCTTGAACAATGAACTTCATAATGAAGAGAAGCGATTAAGTTGGGGCAGAATATATGAGACCGAATAAGGAATATGACTACGGTAACCGGGAGCAGACTGAATAGTGGGTATAATTATTGCCGGTATCCTTTTTAAATACAGCAGATTCTTTGTCCGATGGAGCACAAAATACCCAAAGTAATACACTGCTATATGGTCCCCTTACCGTTCGATGGAGCATTATAAGGGGTCACTATCGTATTTCAAAATGACGTGGAGGGAACTCTCTGTACCATTTTATAACAATGGTTAAGCGGTCACGTTTGTATACTGCGTTAGTATGATACCATTTAGCATATTCTCGCCCCAGACACCACCAGAGTCGTTGTTCCTTATGTTGTACTTCAACCATTTGCTCGATTATTCTTTCAACTAGGTGCAGAAAGGGGAAGCTTTAAATCCCCGATGCTGTAAAGTAATAAAACTCATTGTCGGTGCTTTCTGCCTAACGCTGCCAGGTAACCACAGATTTAACCAGGTTGTGAAATAGGGGATTCCAGAAGTTTCTTTCTATTTGTCGCGACTTGCAACCATCATGAACAGCGGATACTCGGGAAATTTAATTTAAAAATAATGAAAGTAATCCGCCAAACGTTGCCGCGTTTGAATCTTTGCGTTAACCGGCGCGTGAAGGGGTTTTTCCAGAACGTTCTTGTTTGCAAACATAGTTTGGCTTACTTACCTTGGTTTTGGTGAAATTTGTAATATCTTCCGTGCCCCTTTCATAAAGAGTCGCCCATTAACAACAGCCCATTCTCAGATACAACGT